TGGGTTTCTAACCAGACCCTCCCCTTCTCCCCTACATCCCCCAAGAAAATTTGAGAAGATACTACAAGGAAAGTTTGCTCAGTTGCCTTTTGGGTTCTGCCACCTGTCGTTATTGTTTCTAGAGAGTAGATGATTCCTTTTTGAAAGAGAGAAAAATGAAAACAAATAGGAGATTCTATTGCCCTTTGACAATTGCAGTATTCTGAAACGAGGAACTGAACAGTAAAGCCCTGATAATCTAGGGGATGATTATTCAATTTGAGTATTAGTCCATCTCCCTTGCATTTCTGCTTCTTTACCTTTTGTTTCCAGGGCTTGAGCATATTTCATTGCTTGCTAGAACCACCACCTGGAAATGTGCAGAGGAAAACTAGCTCAATCTAGTTCATTTTTAAAACTTAAATAACTGTCATGTTCTGAGTGGGGAGGATAAATAAGCTGAAATTAACAGTGAATCCAAAAATGAGGCAGCAGATCTGAAATTGCCTAGCACAAGGACTGCACATAACAAGAAGTAAGTGAGGTTTTATGATCCACGCAACAGTTTTCTACTGCTCTTGACCGGTGGTTCTCAGCCAGAGATTTTATCTCCCCAAGGGACATACGACAACATTTGGAGACATTTTTGATTGTCACAATTTGGGAAAGATACTGGCATCTAGTGGGTAGAGGCCAGGGATACTGCTACAAATCCTATAATGCACTTGCACAGGGCAGTCCCCTACGACAAAGAATTATCTGGCACAAAATATCAAAAGTGCTGAGGTTAAAACACTTGTTGCAGGTAAAAGAACATGTACAAAGTCTATTTTTAGTATGATTATGAGCAAGTAAAGTAATATTGTTGATCCTTACTTGACTATATTTAAAATTATTTGTTTGCAAATATGTTTATATAGCTCTCCATTCACTGCCTATTTATGTTTTCAAAATTAGTCTAGGTAGGTCAACAATGAATATTCTCCATCAAAACAAAAATTTTGAAATAGTACCAGTCCCTAAGATTTATACAAATTTAATTTGCTCCTAGCTTATAAGAAGTTTGCATAAAATTAGGAACACCTGTCTTAGGGATAGCATTTTACTTGATCCGTCCTTCTCTCTCCTCTTAAATAGATACTAACATGCATTTAAGCTAAGACTTTTTCCCCAGTCTTTACAGATGTTCCATTTGCTTTGAAATACTGCCTGAAATGAAATAAGCACTGGTTTTAAAAAGATCTATGAACAAACGTGAGGTTAATCCCCTCAAAAATTTAGACAATGGGTGATTTCCTTCTTGTCACATCTTAACTGGACCCAGAGGGAGACTTCTTAAGAACAGGCCAAGATGTTTGGCTTCTGCTTTGTCCTTTCTCAACCAGGCCCAGTCATCAGCTTGCCCAGTCACCAGCTACCCTAAAATAACCTCTTCACCTCAAGTAGCCTGAAAAATGTAAAATGGCGGCCCCCAAATAGAAACTGACATTATGAGCATTATTAATATCCAGATGGAAAAACCAAACAAGCTGATCTTGTCGTGTTTCTTTTGTATGTTGGAATGCTGTCGGACAACTGCTAAACAAATTTAAGGCTTCAGGCCATAGTTTGAATCTAGTTGCAGCTGACTGACTTTGTGGACCTTTTATCAGACAGAACGTCATATAGTCTGGCTACTGTTTTAAGTGTGGGAGAAGCTCAAAGATAGGAACAACCTAGTGGCCTGCTGTTGCCCTAAATATCTTTAACATTTCCTTCAACCCCCTGTGGCAGTTCACAAACTGGACTGCCCAGAAGGAGCCAGGGAGGTCTGTCCAGTAGAACTTTCTGCAGTGAGGAAATGTTACACATCTGCTGTGTTTGATTCAGTTAGTCACTAGCTATATGGCAGTTGAGCACTTTGACATGTGGCTAATGTGACTAAATAAATGCCTTTTTAATTTTACATTATTTTAATTTAAATAGACACACGTGCTTAGTGGCTTCCATAATAGAGAATGCCAATCTAAGAGACACTCACTCATTTTTCCACATCTTAATTATAGATATCCCTTCTTCATTTTTAAATATAAATGTAATAAAATTATAGAATGCTTAAAAAGTAGGAGGAAATTCTGTTTAATACCCATAAGTTCATAAGCCTAACATTATTGTTATAAATTTGGTAAAATTTCCAGGCTTTTCCTACATATTTTTAAATGAGTTAGATATGATTTGGTCTCATTTAACCAGCTTTTTTCACTTAACATTATGGGAGGAATATATTTCTGTACTACTGAGTAATATTCACAAGCTATCAGATCTAATGATGACTTGTTCTTAGATTGTTGTATTACAGTTTATTTCCTCTATTTTTGAAATTTTGGGTTGTTTCATCTGTTTGCTTGCTTGCTTGCCTGCTTGGTTTTATGGTCATTATAAAATAATGCTATAGTAAACATATAAAAATGTGTTAATATTTCTCTTATTTAGAATACACTACCATGGGGCCGGCCCGGTGGCGCACTGCTACAGTGCCCCGCTTGGGAAGCGCGGCGGCGCTCCCGCCGAGGGTTCGGATCCCATATACAGACCGGCCGCTCACTGGCTGAGCAAGGTGTGGGAGCAACACCGTGGGTTGCGATCCCATTGCCGGTCCCCGTCCGGTACGGGCGCGACACTGAGGGTTGCGATCCGTTGCCTGTCACGAAAAAAGACTAAAAGGAAAAAAAAAAAAAAAAAAAGAATACACTACCATGACAATGTTTCAGTTTTACACAGATAATGATTTACGTGATGAATCATCTCACTACCACATACTTATTTTGAAAAAGTGCTTTTTCACTATTGATGGATCTTGGATGTGACTGGCACCATTGTGCACACAATAAGCACAAAATAGTTGCTGGCCTTGTCTTCCACTCCAGCACCAAATCTCTCCCTCCTTCCCTTTATGAGAAGCCTCATGACTTCTGCAAAACAGAAACCCTTTTGTTTCTGGAAGGGCGCAGTTCTCCGCCCTGGTCACATAGCTTCAGCATTAGCATAATGCCCCTCCTTGATGGTATCAGCCAGCCCTTGGTGCACTATATAAGCTCTCTCACCCCAACACCTGGTGCTGTCCATTTTGAGGGCAGCCCCTGACTGCCCGCCACTTTGAGCACAGCCTGGCAGATTTTCTTTTCCTTTAATAAATCTTGATATCCGGCATCTCAACTCACTTTCTTTCAACTATGTGTGTGGAAAATAGACTTTAAAGTTGCCAAAAGGAAAGAAAGCCAAGACTTTTCTCTCTGCAGCACAATTAATTCAGTAAATTATGAGACAGATGAATATTCCTTCCCATATAACAGTGAAAATTGCTAATAAAATGTAGCTGCATTCAGGGCTGATGACATAGACCTTTGCTTTGAGAATGGGGAATAAGTCCCAGGCATAAACCCTGCAAGTAAAATATTTTACAAATTCAGATAGTCACTAGAATCTATAAAGATGAGAAAATTAACAGAGGTAAAAAATAAAATAAAATAATTAAAAACCCACCCTGTTTTGTTCTGTTCTTTGTAAATATACATATTTATACATTGTTACATCTCCAAACTATCCTTTTTATAACTCAAAGCAATATGAGTATAGCGCAAGTAAATCTTCACACATCTTACAATTAGTAATTATTGTGAAGATTTTGGCTTAAGATATTTTATATTTTGCATAATGGTAAGCTGTCACATAATTTAAAATTTTCTTTTTAAATAAATTCTATATTCTAGTAAATCTGATCATCAAAGAGCAAAGGGATTCTACTGATAACACAAATGAATGTAAGACATATTCTGAATATTAGAACCTAAAAATATAAAATGTTCTCTTTATTCACAAGTTGGGTTTTAACTTCTTTTATATCATCCTTTGTCTTTGAGTTGAGATTTGTAATTGAGAGTTTGAACATGGACTTTATGAGCTTGTGCTAATTACACATTAGGCTATCCATGAGAAATAGCTTTGTAAACAGCAAGTTCAGTGAAAATCTAATATAAATGTTTTTAAAAGTATTCTTTGCTCATCCTATATATATAAAAAATAGCTTTTAAACTTGGCCTAATGGGAAGAAATCCAAGACTTTTCTCTCTCTCTGACACAACGAATTTAATAATTTATGGTACAGATTTTTTTTCCTTCACAACAATGAAAATGTTTCGATTGATAAAATAACTGTGTTTAGGGCCTTTATTAGTGATATCAGCAAAAGACATAGATCTTTGTCTTTGGAAATGGAATGTACATCTCCAGATGGCAAATCGCTGGGACTTTGTTCACAACATGAATGAGGCACGTTGCCAGAAAGTCATTTCCTAAAAATCAATAGTGTTTGTACTGGAAATACTTCAAAAAATGTTTCAAAACTCTTTAACTCTGTATGTACTTTGTGGATCATCTGGGAAAAATATTTAAAACCTGATGGACTTTTCTCTGTCACCCAGTTAACCTCTTGCTTCCCTCATTGTTATCATCAATTCTTTAAAGAATGCCACTAATTTTAGCATTACTATACACAATACATCATTATGAAATTGCCTGTGGTCAAAAACATAATATAAATGGGCCGGCCCGGTGGTGCACTCGGTAGAGGGCGGCGCTCCCGCCGAGGGTTTGGATCCCATATGGAGACCAGTCCACTCACTGGTTGAGCGCGGTGCGGATGCGACACCGAGGGTTGCAATCCCGTTACCGGTCACGAAAAAAGAAAAAAGGAAAAAAAAAAAACCATAATATAAGTAATTCCAGGGTTATATATAAATACCCATTCTTTAAGCCACTGTGTTCTGTTATTCTTATCAGACAATGAAATGGTGTTTGTAGTTTGCTTATGCACACCTGCTGTGCCAGGTCAATCCCAGATTGTTTTGAGGGGTCTTTAAAAAGTTCATGGAAAGATAAGTATTACTTTTAATTCCATTTTTCTATAAACTTTTAAAGTACTCTCATTAGAGTTTCCAATGTTCTGTTAACAGAATTCATAGCTTTATTTTTATGAATTGCAGGTGGTTTTCATGAGCCTATGCAAAAGTTTTTGGGACTGTGGGCTTGTAGCCCTGGATGACATTACAATACAATTGGGAAGCTGCTCATCTCCAGGTAAGAGGGCATTTATTTCAGCTCTCTTTGTCTCTCTGGACTATACATGACACTTTGTTTCTCTAAGAGCCACATGCATTTAATCTGTGCTAGTCCATTCCTTGTCTTTCTTGACAGAAGTGCCTCTCTGCAGAGCTGTGTAGTCGGCTTTGGAATGTAGAAGTGATGACTCAAATGTAATGTGTATCTTTGTACATGTGACTTAACTTCTTTATGCTCATTTGTAAGGGAGATAGTAATACATAGACATTCCCAGGCGTAGAACCTGGCATAAAACAGTGCTTTAAAAAACAAATATTTTCTTTTATAATTACTATTGTTATTATTATTGTCATTGTCTTACATGAATACAGATGTTCAAGCTATACTAATAAAATTCTTATTTCACAGAGGCTTGTTAAAAATACAATTTTAAAATTTTAATAAAATATTTTCTGAGCAAATTAAATGACAGTGGAACAATAGAATAAGCATTGATGATAGTGACAAAATTAACTGGTGGTTGCTAGCTGTGTGTTACCCTATGTCTAAGGAGAAAATGGTGCATACCTCAACCCAGATCATTGGTTTGTACCCACTAATTACCATTGCATCCTAAATAATGGAGTATCTATTTTTTAACAAACAGGTATATTGCGGTGTCAATCACTGGAGAATAATCTCCATGTTTATTTAATTAAAAGACAGTTTGTTTTTGGTCCCTTGACTTACAAAGCAATACAGGGACAACAAAGTTAAAAATCAGGCACAGAAGAGGGAATGAGTCTTCATTAGCCAGTACTGTATGCAGAACAAAATGAAGTAAAATAATTATCACACTAGAGACATAAAAGGCAGGCAATTTATTAGAAAAATTTGCTAAGAATCTGGATGTGAAGAGGTACAGTCAAGTTCAGCCAAAAGAAAAGTCCCCAGTAAGTTGGGAGCTAGCACCATTCTAAGAATAATAATTATTAAAGTTATTGAAGATAGCATTCAAAGACATAAATGTTTGCCTTTGGAAATGGAAAATAAGGCACAACAAGTTCTAATATTTATTTTACTAATAATTACTGAGAACTTTGTGTTCTAAATGTATTACATACATTATCTCATTTAATCCTCACAAACTCATTAAGTAGGTATCATTAATATTCCCATATCACAAGTAAGAATACTTGAGACACAGAGACATTAAGTCATTTTCTCCACACAGCTATGCCTCCAGAAGTACATTTAATTCTCTCACATTCTCGCCCTCCTCCAAAGCAACTACAGGGTTATTATGAGAATACTCTTTATTCACCCTGGTTTTCTGAAGAAAGTTCTTGTACTATGCAATTTTATTATTTTCCATATTTTCATAAAGGCAATATACCTCCAATTTTCAGAGCTTTGTAAGCTCATTCACATCAAAGTATCCCAGTATTTTAGCTCTAGATTCGATTGTTCTCTGCCTCTGTGGCAGGACCCAAGGTGGAGTGCAGGCTCGAGCTGGAGGCAAGCGCTTGGCATGGGTGGGCGGCCGGTGGGGGCTGCCTCTGCATATGCATGGCATATGGCCAGATGACACCCATACATGCAGAGCGGGGCTGTCGACAGCCATGGAATACATGCATAGTCATTGAAAGTGTCTCAGCAATTGTAATTCCTGCTATTTCCTTGCAGAAAGACTTCTACCTGCACCTGGAGAGTGCACTTTCGAACAAGGTGAATGTGCATTTACTCAGGAGAAAAGGAACAGGAGCAGCTGGCACAGGAGAAGGGGAGAAACTCCCACCTCCTACACAGGACCAAAGGGAGATCACACTACTGGGGTAGGTGAGTTATGCCACATGGTGCTGTTTCCTAAGGAAACCCTCTAAGATACCATTCTAGGGGTCGTTTACCGCATTTTGAAATGTGCAAATTTATGTCTTGTGTCTAGAATGAACTACCCATGTGATTCTACACAGGATAATTCAATATGTGCACAGAAAACCATTCTTTCTGTTTATTACATTGCTCATGCATGTTGCTGCAAAGAGAATCTAAAAGGGCTTACAAAGATATGCACACAAAGATAATTTAATTAGAAGTAGGTTTAAAAATAAGAGAGAGAGGGACAAAACTAATCTAACCTGGAGCCAGGACTGAGGCCTACATATAAAATATACCGGCACACAGGGGAGGAGGCATACATGTTTGATTCCAAGCTTTCTAGTAGCTGAAACAAAGATGTGAAACTCATCTGTGAAATGCGATTCACAGTATCCTCAGGATAAAAACAGAGCAGTCCACTCGGGGTATAGGCAATAAGGGGATGCATTTTCTGTAGAAAATGTACAAACTATAATAAAAGACTAAAGCTGATCTGCTTATCATCACCATGTGTCAGCAATTGTAAATGATGTCAGTGATGCAATGTGTCCTGTGGAGTGGGACTTCCTCATTAACATTCCCAATTCATTTGATATATCTATTAGATAAAAGCACAACATTTGATCCAGAGAAGCAGAACTACCCCTGATACTAAGCTCATAGAGATATTTCCTCAAGGATCCAGGTAGAAAAACCATTATTATAGTAAATATGACGGTGAGTTGCATAGTGCTGTTTTTCATGGCCTACCTCCAGAAAAACCTATGAAATACCACCACAGAGCAACCGAAAGTCACCTGTTTTTTGAATTGGCTACACTTGGTCAGGTGCAATCATGAATTGCTTTATTTTTTCTTTCCATCACCCTCTTCAAACATACTGTAAAGATTCTCTCTTCTTCACCCCTTGGCAAACCCCTTAGTATCCCAGTCCTGTTGGAGTATTAGAGCAGCTATATTTTCAGGTATGTTAAAAAGTCCAGTTTAAATCAAAACTTCCATTTCTTGTTCAATTGAATCTTCTCTCTTTCCCTTAGCTTGGGCCTGACTCATACTTTGGGGATGGTAAAGGAGGAAACTATCTATTCTTTCATTTTCTTTGTTTCACCTCTTGCCCTGCGTCTCATCTTCAGGATCCTTTAGTCGGAGTGGATGGAAGAGGGATTAAAAGAAAATACCTTTAAAAATATTTGACACTATTTTAAATTCTGTCTTGGATGTTAAATGTCTTTTGTTAAGACAGATATTAAATGCTGGCACTTTGTAGAGCCTCAACATCTTTCCATTTCTGGCAATATGCTCTCTGGCTAACCTGTGACCACCACCTTTCCCCTTAGTACTTGTACTATGGAGATACAACCCACACAGATTTTCTGCTTGGGATCTTCATGGAAGTTTCAGCTTGGGTTCTTTCAAGAGCACTTGGTCCCAGCCACCTTCCTAGTGGGTGTCCGTTTGGCCTCAGATACTAATGCACTCTTGCCTGACTAAGAAGGTGTGCAATTTGGTTTTACTGCTGTCCTCTCTTTTCTTTTTGCTGCTTCAGCAGATTGTGAGACAGTGTTGCTTCAGTAAATGATGCTGTGGAAGAGACTCAGCATTGGCCCAAAGGTAGACCAGACGTTCACTTTCAGCATTGAGTGGAGGAGTCTAAGTGAGCTCTAAAAATCTAAAAGGCTATATCTGGAAAAATATCAAGAAGTTAAAAAGATAACTAGAAAGACCTATATACGTTAGGATTATTTGGATGGTTTGTAACAAAAAACAGAACTCAAACTGACTTAAGTTAAAAGCAAATCCTTATTGGACTTTGTAACAGAACAAGACCAGTTTGGTCTTGATTATAGCCGTCCTAGTGGGTATGAGGTATTATCTCATTGTGTAATGCCTGCTTTGTCTGATACAAGGATATTTCAAAAAGTTCGTGGAAAAATAGAACTAAATGGTAATACAAATCTTTTCATGAACTTTTGAAGTATTCTGATATTATGATAGCCACTCCAATTCTTTCTCGGAAACTGCATAAAATGGTCTATTTTTTTCCAACCTTTTACTTCAAACTGTTTGTTTCTTGAATCTAAAGTGTGTCTCTTGGAGACAGCATATAGTTGGGTCAGACTTCAATTCATTCCACCAGTCTCTACTGTTTGATTAGAGTGTTTAGTCCATTTATAGTTAACATAATTACTGATAAGGTAGAATTTATGTCTGCATTTTGCTATTTGTTCCTGTATGTATTATGTGTTATTACTATTGTTGTTCCTTTATTCCTGCATTTCTGCCTTCTTTCATATTCAGTGGCTACTTTCTAATACAACATTTTAATCCTCATGCTGTTTATTTTACTATATACTTTTCTTAGTGGTTCCCCTAGGGATTACAATTAACATCTTAAACAAGACAATCTAGTTCATATTAATGTTAATGTCATAGTGTCCAAAAACTTTGCTTCATTCCATCCTCCCTCCTTTGTACTGTTATTGCCATGCACGTGACATCCTTATGCATTATAAGCCCATAGGCACAGTTTTATAATTAATGCTTCATGAATTTGTCTTTTAAATCAGATAAAAGAAAAGAGAAACAAAAACACACTTATTCTGTCTTTTAGATTTACCTATGTAGTTATCTTTATCAGTGCTCTTTATTTCTTCGTGTGGATTTGAGTTACTCTCTAGTGTCCTTTTCTTTCAGCTGTCCCTTAGTGGCTGGTGATAAATTCAGTTCTTGTTCATATGGGAATGTGTTAAATTCTCCTTTGATTTCACAGGGTAGTTTTCCTAGACACAGAATTCTTGGTTTTTTTTCACTGTATTTGATTTTTTTTTTTCTTTCTCTACATTTTAATATGTTGTCTCACTGCATTCTGGCCTCCATGGTCTCTGATGAGGAGTCAGCTGTTAATCTTAATGAGGATCCCTCGTATATGATGAGTCACTTTTCTCTTGCTTTCAAGATTCTGTCTTTGTCTTTGTCCTGCAACAGTTCACTGTGATTTTTCTAAGTGTTTCTCTCCTTGAAATTATCCTGTTTGGAGTTCTTTGACTTTCTCAGATGTAGAGATTAACATTTTACATCAAGTTTGGAAAGGTTTTGGCCATTATTTTTTCAAATGTTTTTTCTCCCCTTTTCCTGTTCTCTCCCTTTCTGGGATTCCAGAAAGGTACACTTTCTTGGTACACTTGATGATGTCCCACAGGTCTCCGAGGCTCTTTGCATTTTTCTTTATTTTTATTTGTTTCTGTTCCTCTAATTAGAAACCCTCATTTTACCCGTCTTCAAGTCCAGTGACTCTTTCTTCTGCCAGTTTCGGTCTGCTGCTTACCAACTCTCATACATTTTTCATTTCAACTATTTTACTTTTCAAATCTATAATTTCTAGTTAGTATTTTTGAAAACAATTGCTAGTACTTTTAATGATACTCTCTATTCAGTGAGACATTATTCTCATACTTTCCTTTAATAATTGAAACATGGCCTTAATTCTTTAAACATATTTATAATAGTTGACTTAAAGTCTTTGTCTGGTAAATCCAGTGTTTGGACTCAGAGACAGTTTTTATTGACTGCTTTTTATCCTATATATGGGCCATAGTTTTCTGGGTGTTTTGTGTGTCTCATGATTTTTGTTGAAAACTAGATATTTTAAATAATATGATGTGGCAGCTTTCTTCCTCCCCAGGGATTTTTGTTGTTTGTACTTGTTTTGTTGTTGTTATTATTGTTGCTTAATTTTTTAGGGACTTTCCTGAACTAATTCTGTAGAGTCTATATTCTTTGTTCTGTATGGCCACTGAAGAATCTGTTCTGTTAGCTTAATGGTCGACTAATTATCGAACAGAGATTCTCCTTAAATGCCTTCAACCAATACACCTCCCAGCCCTTGCCAAGAGGCTGTGTGTTTTTGTTGGGGATGTTTTTTCAATGCTTCAGCAGGCAGTTTACAACTTTGCCTTAACCTTTATAATTCTTGCTCATGCAGAGCTGCAAGGTCAGCCAGAGATGATAGATTAGGACTTTCTCAGTCCTCTCTGGGTATATGCACAGCTTTGCATGTGTGTGACTTTCCAGATTGCCAGTAGTGTGCTGGAGCTTTCCAAAGCCCCCTATAGACATCCCATCCCCCAATTGTTTTTCTTTTAAATTTTTGGTCAGCCTTTTGTTAGCTGCAATTGTTAATGCTACCGCAGACAATTGCAATGTTAAACATTGTTTAACTGATTATTTTTGACAAATGCCTTAGGGATGAGGCTGTTTGTACAGAGTACGGTTTACCTAAATCAGGTTAAATAAAGACAAGCCTTGAGAATGGAGCTTTTCAGTGAGCTGCCGAATAGGTCAAATAAAGTCAATTCTCTAAGGATGGGGCTTTTGAGGAGCTCCAAATCTGTTCTGCCCCTTTCAGTCACTGATAGGCTACTGCTTTTCACAGATACCTTAGTTGTAAAGCTCTTAGCTTTCAAGTCTATTGCACAGTAAGAGAGATGAGAAGGAGTTTGGGCAAGTGAAAAGGTTACTGTGCTTAGCAAGATTCAGTCATTTCCCTTGAATAAACACTTTTGCATTGTTGTAAGCTTCTAGTTAATTTCTAGAGTTCTAGAAAAGTTGATTTTGACGTTTCTTGCCAGTGTTCTCATTGCTTTTATGGAGAAGCAGACTTCCAGAGGTTCTTACTCCACCATTCCAACAGCTCCGTATTCCTCCCCCACCTCTGCATTTGTTGGCTTTTCAAGAGATTTGAGTTCTTTGGTGAAATTCTCCATCTCGTCACTGATTCTCTTTAACATATAATTAAATGCTCATATCATTAAATTATTAATTATGGTATTTTACAGTCCTTGTGTGATAACTCCATATGTGGGTCACCTTCGGTATGTTTCTATTGTCTCTTCTCCCCAGCTCCCCCTCCCGCACCTCCCCCATCTTTTGATCCTGTTTTCTTGAAATGTCTGGTAAATTTGA